CGATCACAGAAAGATCAACCACCAAACAGCCAAGGCAAGGACTACAAGAAAAGACATCATGAAAGGAATACGAGGAGATGGAAAAGTACTAGAGTAGAGGTGGCACTTTTTGAGAGACTTGTGATCCTCAGGGATTGGAATAGAAACCTTGGGAAGAATTTCTTCATTTTCTTGCTGGGACAAGGCTCTCTCAGCAGATCTCTCTTGCCTTTTAATTTTCTCTTCATCCTGTACTAACAGAGCACGTTCCTGTGTCTGCTTTCACGATAGAAGATCAAGAAAGACAGAGAAAGATGAACAAAATGACAGATGGAAAATGCTCAGAAATGATACTTGGGGATGTGCAAAGGGTTTAGAAAGATCTTTTGGACATTTTATTTTAGCTTTACTTTGCCAACTTACACTACAGTTTCTAAAAAAACAGTAAGGTGTTCAACATGTAAGTTTTTGAATGAATGAATATTAGGACCCCTGGAAGTTTATGGAATCCTTAGCCATCCTCATTTACATATGATTTTTTTCACATATGAATTTCAGGTCATTTTTTTTATTGCTTTGGAATTGCCAATAATTAACAAGCTGAGCAATGCCAGTAAGGGAACATTCTTCTTGCCATTGAGTAATCCTCATATCTCTTCATATAGACATTTAAAATGCCGTAATTCAATGTGATAACTAGATTTTGTTCAAGGGAATGAAAGTGTTCACCTTACACATTTTAAATATTGCAAAAGAAAAGTAGAAAGTGTAAAATTTTATAGTATGCCTCCAGAGTTCACCCTCAAGAAAGAGGCAAAGGGGGAAAGAAGTGCAACTCCTCCCATAAGATCTCAGAATGTGATTAGAAATAATAATGGTAATCATGGAGGTTAATACATTACATTTAGTAAATACTTGACAATTTTAAGGGAAGTTTTCCCCCCAAATGTCCACTTGAGCATTTTTCCCCCAGCAATTGCTGTACTCTGCTATCCATAGTGAAGACAGATGTTATCTAGGAAAGGAAAAACTTGGCTCTAAGCTCTCTCAGTTGAGCTAGCCTTCTCTGATCAGTTTGGAAGTTCAACACTGGTTCTTTGCACACCCCTAAGTGATATGTATCAGGGAGAAAGTAGCTAGGGGACTGGTCAGCAAAAAGAAAAAAAAAAGGAAAAGAAAGGATGCAAAATTATAATGAAATTTAAAAGAAAAGTGGGAGAAGAAAGACAACATAAAAAGAATAGGGTATAATTAAATTCATTTTCTCTCTGAATACATATTTACATCTGCATGCAGCTTTTCCAACCAGCCATGCGCCGAAATAAGCATATCGAAAGCTGCTAACGCTGCAGCAGTGAATCTGTACCGTGTTAGGCCAAAAGGCTGTGGGAGTGAATTAACTAGTGTAGCCAAAAGAAAAGAAACTTATTCAGCAGCTGTGGTTCAGTTCTGAGGGAATTCTTTGCTTGGTGCCATGACAAGAGCAAACTCTGAGTGAGAAGCACAAGTTGTAACAGCATGATTACCTCTGGCCCACCAACCTTTCTTTCCGAGGGGAGAACAGAGGTTTTCTTCACCTGGGCATACACAAATTATATAAAATTCAGTTGCCTTACAATGCAACAACAATGCTGCTAAAGGTGGAAGAGGTATCCCCAGAAAATAGAAATATTATCCTTATTATTAAAGAAAAAGATATGCCAGAAAATGGAATTATCCCAGTATAAAAGATCATAACAGTACAATTCTTATTTATTCCACACTTCAGATAGAGGGACAAATATATGTAAGCATAGAGCAAAAATTGCTCAAGTATTTCCTGGAGATCTAACTTAGTTTATAAAGTGTCATTTCTTTAAAGTTCACAGAATGACACTGCTATTCCCCAAACCAGCCCTGAGATGATTTCTGAAGGATTTCTATTTAAAGACCCATTTTCTGGAAATGGAGCTTGATAGAGATTTACCCAATCTCATTCATGATAGTATCAAGCTGCTTTTTTGAACATCTTTGATCAGTTTGCAGAGTCAAAATTAGAACTTGTAGAAAATACACAGTTATCATCTGCAGCTAGGGTTAGTAGGTAAGACAGCAACAAGCTACTTTTTCACTTGTAGCACTTCCCAGTTAGCAAGGGCACTGCAGATCATCCACTCCAAGAGCAATGACTTGTTCAAAGCCAGTCAGTTAGGCTTTAATTAGCCAGACTCTCTCAGTCAAATCACAACTACTATTTGACCTTTATGTTTCTTATTTCTATGGTCTCACCCATAAATTAGGGCACATGACCCCAATTTAGAGCACAAAATTAATGTCTATTGGGAACAGAGGCCGAGAAGACAAGGAAGAGCAGGAATTCCCATGTCCTATCATCTCTGGTGGCTGCCCACTAACTCGGGTATCTTCCAGCCTCATTTGTAAAACAGCTTTAACTTTGTTCAGAGAACTGTTCGCCAATTTTGTTGTTGTTGTTGCTGGTTGTGGGGCTTGAACTCTGGGCGTAGGTGCTGTCCCTCACTCTTCAGCTCAAGGAGAGCGCTCTATTACTTGAGCCACAGCACCACTTCTGGTTTTCTAGTGCTTTATTGGAGATAAAAGTCTTATGGACTTTCCTGCCCAGGCTGGCTTTGAACTGAAATCCTCAGATCTCAACCTCTTGTGGAGCTAGGATTACAGGTATGAGCCACCAGCACCTGGCCCCTAAGTTTCTTTTTTTGGTAGAGGTCTGAAGGTTTGAAACTAGAATTTTGCACTTTTTACATAGGTACTCTATCACCTAATCCATGCCTTCAGCCCTTTATGCTCTGGTTATTTTTGAGGTAGGGTCTCTTTTTTCTAGGCTGGCCTGGACAGCAATGTTCTTATTAACACTTTATTATATTATATTATATTTATATTATATATTATTATAACACTCTATATTATATTATATTAACACTATTATATCACTGTAACTTGAATGACAAACTTGAATGACCATCATGCCCAGCTATTAGTTGAGATGAGATCATGAAAACTTTGCATGAGCTAGCTTCAAATCATAATCCTCTTGAGCTCTGCCTCCCAAAAAACTGGAACTGCAGATGTAAGCTACATACGATTGGTTTTCTTTTCTTCTTTCTTTCTTTTCTTCCTTCCTTCCTTTCTTTCTCTCTTTCCTTTCTTTCTTTTGCATTTCTAAGCTAGGATCTTACTATGTCATCCAGTACTCCTCAGGCTTTTAGACTCAAGGGTCCTTTTGCTTCAGCTTCTTGAGTAGCTGGGTCTATAGGCATATGCCACTGTGGTTGGCTAAACCACAGTTTTTAGTTAGGACATCATTTTATGTTTCTTAACTACAACTGCTATTGTTTTGGGGTAAAATAAGCATACAATTTAAAAATCATTACAATCATTCCTTGAGTCATTGTGATTATATAAATATTTAATATGTACTGACTAAGTAACTGTTAAGATTTTTTTTGGGGGGGGTCCAGTCGTGGGGCCTGGACTCTGGGCCTGGGCGCTGTCCCTCAGCTCTTCAGCTCAAGGCTAGAGCTCTACCACTTGAGCCACAGCGCCACTTCAGGCTTTTTTTTTTTTTTTTTTTGCTTATGTGGTACTGAGGAATTGAACCCAGGGCCTCATGCATGCAAGGCAAGCGCTCTACCACTGAGCCATCTTCCCAGCCCCTTTTAAGATATTTTCATTAAACAAATGCATTTATTTCAAGTATAGAGAGTGTGTGTGTGTTTCATTAAACAAATGCATTTATTTCAAGTATAGGGTGTGTGTGTGTGTGTGTGTGTGTGTGTGTGTGTGTGTGTGTGTGTGTGCGTGCGCACGTGCGCTGGACCAAGGCTTGGAACTGTCCCTGAGCCTTTTTATTCAAGGCCATTTGAGCCACAGCTCCACTCCTAGCTTTTTTGGTCATTAATTGGAGACAAAAGTCTCTTAGATATTCCTGCCCAGGCTGACTTGGAACTTTGATCCTGAGATCTCAGTCTTGTGAGTAGCTAGGATTACAGGTGTGAGCCATCAGTGCCAGGCTTAGATGTAGGATCTTTAAAATAGTTAATGATACAATAATAAAGAACAGAATTCTTTTTTTTTTTGGTCTGGTCGTGGGGCCTGAACTCTGGGCCTGGGTGCTGTCCCTCAGCATTTCCACTCAAGGCTAGCACTCTACCACTTGAGCCACAGCACCACTTCCAGCTTTTTTCTTATGTGGTGCTGAGGAATCGAACCCAGGGCCTCAGGCATGCAAGGCAAGCGAAGAACAGAATTCTTAAACTTCCATTTCCTGCACTAGAAGTGAAAATGTTTCTCTCTTCTCCATTTCTCCCTACTCTAACCTTATTATACTAAAACAAATTCTTGCTAAAACCTAAAAAAAAATAGAAATAAAAAAGAACAGTCCCTGAAAAGTATTTCTGGCTTATTCTAATTGTGACACTCTTATTAAAAACATCTTTTGAAAAATGTGATACTGTTATTAAACATAAAAATAAATCACCAGTTGTTTTTCTTAAATTAAAATATAATAATTTTATACTTGGTGTTTCGCATTGTCTGGCTTATAGACTTCCTTGGTGTATTATATAATTGTGGGCAATCATTTCAGACATTTCTAAGTTGTACAAATGTTCAAATAAAATTTTAAAAAATATTAGTCCCTTTCTAATTTTAACCTTACTAAATTTAGCAAACTTTCTGGAAGGCACATTTTGAACATAAACAAAGCTTTACTGGCTTATAGTCAGTTTATAAACACACACTAGCCAGAAGCACGCAGCTGCAGAACCAGTTCTCAGAGCCTAATCATCTACTAGTAACTCTAAATGGGTACTACAATGAGCTGAGTTGCATCCACAATTTAAAAACAATAAGTGCTTGATTATGAATGCCTTAACACTACAATAAATTGTAGTGGGACCAAAGAAAATTTCAATTCTCACTATCTTCTCAGATATAGGGTATTAACATACAAAAACATTTATTCTATTCCTCCTCATAATCAGTTATGTGGACAAAGTACTCACTCCTTCGCCCGTGGGGATCTGCCCATTGACATTAAGAGTTCGGAAGGGCGAGTGCGTAGACAGGCGTTTATCCCACTCGCTGGGCCGTGGCTCTGGTACAGACTCCATGAAGTTCTTTTTCAGCTCACTGATACTGGCATGATGTTTTCTGATCTCTTCTTGACTCTTGTCTAAATCCTAGAGTTGAGAGGACAAAGATGTAAAATAATAAATAATTAGGGCAAAAAACACATCAAGTGCAACCCATCAGAGACTGGGCACTGGCAGAAAACACACCATATCCAGGATAGATGTTACTAACCCATGAATTACATTTAAGTTGTAAATATACAACATAGTATATTTGCTTGGTTTCTTTTCTTTCTTTTTCTTTCTTTTTTAAACAAAGTGCTTTTCTTGGAAGCAGTAAATCATCACAATCCAACAGCTCTCAGCAATTATATAACTCATGAAGAGTGACTTCTTAATTTTATGACTCTTTTTTCCAAAATGACAAAACCAGATCTCCAATTCCTCATCTGAAGAACATAATCCCACAATTCAATCAGCCTCAGCTTGATTAACAGCCAATTTAGGCTCAGCTCAGGCAGAATAGCAATAGTGACAGATAAAGAAACTATTAAATGAAAGATATGGTGAAGGGTTTCAACTTCTAACACAGGCTGTTGTGTCTTGCTGAGCAACAGCAGTACACTATCCCTCCATATCCACTGGAGATAATCATGTTACTCAATTAGCAAATGGAGAGTTGTTCTTTCTGATACCTAAGGATAGTTCTTTAAAAAAATTTTTTTGTGGTATTGGGCCTCATGCCTGCTAAGTTTCTCTACCACTTGAGCCATGCCTCCAGTCTTACTTTTTGCTGGCTATTTTGGAGATAGATCTTTTCTGCCTGGGCTGCCTTTGAATGGAGATCCTTTAGATCTCAGTGTTTCATTTTGATAGATGAATTTAAGTAGCAAAATTCCTAGTTCCAGTCTACAAAGTCAATCGTTACTACCTGAAGGAGAGGGGGCAGGGAGAATCACTTTTTTCTTTGAATGACTTTTTCCTTTGTCAATATTATTTACACAAAATAAAAGCCTCATGCTTCGATATTCTAATAGCTTTACTCATTTCTTAGAATAGTTTAAAACAGAGACTTTTTGGAGCTGAGGTTACAGCTCAGTAGTAGAGTGTTTGCTTACCATGCCCAAGGCCCTTGGTTCCATCTCCAGTACCAATGTATTGGAAGTGATAACAAGAGCTCAAATGCTTTGGGTATCAATTTAAAATAACCTAACTGTTCCAGCAGATTTGAGTATTGGGTAATTAGAGATAGAGGCAAGCTCTTAAAGAGAATATTCTAGGGATGTGTGATCAAAACTAAGCTTAATAAAGCACAGGCTAGAAATACTAAGATGTATAAAAAAAGAAGAGATATATGACAACTTTCAAAAAGAACACTTGGCCAAAAATAGTCTGGTGAATTTAACTTGTAGACAAAGACTCAAATGCTCTTTGTCCAACAACACTTAAAAAAAGAAACCCTCAAAACTTTGAGCTTGAGGGGCTGGGAAGGTGGCTCAGTGGTAGAGTGCTTGCCTTGCATGCATGAGGCCCTGGATTCGATTCCTCAGCACCACATAAGCAAAAAGAAAAAAGCTGGAAGTGGTGCTGTAGCTCAAGTGGTAGAGTGCTAGCCTTGAGCTGAAGAGCTGAGGGACAGCGCCCAGGCCCAGAGTTCAGGCCCCACAACCGGACCCCCCCAAAAAAAAAACAACAACAAAACTTTGAGCTTGAGATCAAAATATTTGGAATCGTTCACCCGATGACTGTAGAAATTTTCTGTGTTTATTATATATCAAAGCAACTCTGTATCCAAGGAAAGCATAATGCTAAATATATCTCTTAATATCCTGTGTGGATTTGGGGATTAGTTTTTCTTTTTTGGCTTTGTGAGAAATAGCTTCATTTTGGGGGAGGGGAAGAGAGGAAATTAATTCTTTTAAATCAACTTTATAAAATTTTTTGTTTAAAAGTTTTGTTTTGTTTTTCTGAGAACAACACAGGTTTCAGCTAAATAAAACTTTTTAGAAAGTAGTATCAAGAAAAATAGGGCCGGGAGTCAGTGGCTCACGCCTATAATCCTAGCTACTCAGGAGGCTGAAATCTAAGGATCATGGTTCAAAGCCTGTTCAAACAGGAAAGTCCGTGAGACTCTTATCTCCAATAAACCACTAGAAAACCAGAAGTGGCACTATGGCTCCAGCGGTAGAGCACTGGCTTGAGCTGAAGAGCTGAGGGACAGTGTCTAGGCCCAGAGTTCAAGCCCCACAACTGACCAAAAAAAAGAAAAAAGAAAGGAAAAAAAAAGAAAAATAGGATAAAAAAATGAATCTGGAGATAATTTTTTAGCATATTTACTTATTAGTGTCTTCTTTTTACTTTTGCAAGACTGACCCATATATATTTACTTTGATATCAAAGAGAAAACCCCAAATTGAAACCACATAGATCTCTCCTTCATAAGAGTATTTCTTGCTTGTTGGGATAAAATATGAATGTATCTTATAAATATGGGCTTCACCCAGAGGAAACAAGTTTGTTTGCATTTGGTCCTTGCTGAAAGCAAAAAAGGCATATTTACTACTAAAGAAAAGCACAGACAAGTTTAAAGACTCAGTGTTGGCCTGAGCAACTGAGACCCATGAAGCATGTAAGGCCCTGTGACCCAGCCCCTGACTGGAAATGAAATCTGTTTGTGCTAAGAACAACTCACCACAACTGGGAAGGTTAAAAAGTGTGAATGGAGCAAAACAAAAACAAGCAAGTGATGCTGCGATAAAACCATGACTCTCTGAGTTAGCCTCTTACACGAGAGCCATGATTTTGTATATTTCCTTGTATATCTCTTTTTGCCTAACTTTCAATTGGCTTGAAACCTGAGAAAAACAAATTTTTCCATAAAACCAATAGCTTCTAAGGGAGTTTCTCCATCCTTCTTAGCTGGCTTTGATGGAAACCTGTGGGGGCACAGAATAAAATTAAGATCTCAAAGGGACCTGTTCCAAATAGAATTTGTCATAGACATTTGCTACAGGTTCTCTTTGGGAGATGGAGGAGGAGGCGGTAGATCTAAAAATGAACTCGACCTTATTTGTGCCAGAACAAAGCGTTAGTTGGGGTGGGGGGAGGAAAAGGAATGCTTAAAAAAAAACTGCTAGAGTGACAGATAACTTGACAGAACTTTCTTGGGGGTGGGGTGGAGAAACACCTTTATAATTACTAAAGAATGATGATCAGTCAAGCTGTTTGGGCTATGTTCAGATTAGATAACTTTTGAGGCCTATGATCTTATAATTTTGGCAGCAATCAAATCAAACAGTTCATTAAGTATAAAATATTCTCAAAAGTTAGTAGTTTTAATTCTCAAACACACACTTATTTAGACATCCCCTCTCGTGGCTGTCAGTAAAATGCCAGAGGAAAAAAAACATATCACATACAGGGACTTTGTGAGTCTCAGAAGTCATAACACACCTTATGAAACAAGTGATAAATATATGATTGGTACTGCAGGTTCCAGCTAAGGGAGCACTAAGGATGCACTGGTCAGGACAGTTACCTTGGAAAAATTTTCCTTATAGAATACAAAAATATATAAAAATACTTGCTATTGTTCCCACTATACAACATATGTTTGATAAAGGCTGACCATACTTTTTATTGCTTTTATCAAGGTTCTTTATAAATATCAGATACTCACATTTTTGGTATTTTTGCCAATATTACACTTTGGCAAAAAAAAGTGTGATGACACTAAATAATTATTAGGTTAACTTTTTTTTTTCTTTTTGGTTGGTCATGCGGCTTGAACTCTGGGCTTGGGCACTGTCCCTGAGCTCTTCAAGTTCAAGGTGAATGCGCTATCACTTGAGCTACAGTGCCACTTCCAGTTTTCTGGTGGTTTATTAGAGATAAGAGTCTCATGGACTTTCCTGCCAGGGCTGGCTTTGAATAACAATCCTCAGATCTCAGCCTCTTGAGTAGCTAGGATTTCAGGCATGAGCCATCAGCACTTGGTTAGCTCAACTTTTTAAAGTTTTTTTCAAACTTCTAGTTTGATGATATTTAGCATATTTAATGTATTTTCATCTTTTAAGTCTCAATTAAAATGTTATCTCTTCAGAGAGATCTTTCCTGTCAATCTTACTTGAAGTAAATCCTCTGTTAGCAAAGTATACTAATTATTTCCTACAAAACTTTTCTAATAACTTGTAATCATCTTATTGCTATTTGTTTACCTGAATTGTTTCTTTCCTCCTCAGTTCCCCACATTATAAGCTTTCTGAAGGCAAAAACCATGCTTTAAATTTCCTTAACAGTTAAAATGAATCCCCAACATAAGAATTTATGTTTCTTTCTTATGTTTCTGCCTTGAATGGAGCTGTAAAGCTATCTGGTCATTGACTTCTATCTAAAAGTATTTCTGATATACAAACTAACTTGATCTTGTTTTTTTTTCCATGTGGAATAATTACAATTTCCATATTTCTCCTCATGGAATTCCCCTAATCTTATTAGCTTGATACTTTAAGATAAAATAAACTACACTAATATGAGTCAATTAAAAACTAAGCAGTATTGAATATAACAAGAAAATAACCTTATAATTCCTATAGCAGATAATGATACTATTTTCTAAGTGTAAAATTGTAGTTATAAAATTATGTAACTTCTCAGTCCTACCTTTCTAATATATCAATTCTATGACCATAGAAAAATTACTTAATATCTCTAAGTTTCAACTTTCTCATATTTAAAATAAAAATTCTATAGCCACAGGCATGTTTGTGTGTGCATACATGCAATCACACAAGTCTTGGATCTTGAACTGAAGGCCTGCATACTGCTCTTGAGCTTCTTTACTCATGGCTAGCACTCTACCACTTACTTGAGCCACAGCTCCACTTCTGGCTTTTTTGGAAGTTAACTGGAACTAAGAGTCTCATGGGCTTTCCTGCCCAGGTTGGCTTTTAACAGCAATCCTTGGATCTCAGCCTCCTGGATAGCTAGAATTATAGGCATGAGCCACCAGCACTCAGCACATAGGCTTATTTTGTGCGTGTGTGCGTGTTTTTTTTTTTTTAATCAGTCATAGGGCTTGAACTCTGGGACTGGGCGCTGTCCCTAAGCTCTTCAGCTCAAAGCAAGGGCTCTACCACTTGAGCCACAGTGCCACTTCCGGTTTTCTGGTGGTTAATTGGAGATAAATAACAGTCTCACGGACTTTCCTGCCTGAGCTGGCTTTGAACTGCCATCCTGGCACTGGGCCATAGGGTTGTTTTAATGATAAAACCACCTCATAGTTACTAAATGCTGGCTCCTTTCTTTCTTGTATCTTACCACTGCCCAACCTTACTTCAGTAATATCCTACTATCTTTAGTATTGTAAGTCCATTTTGAACTAAAATCCAAGGAACTTTTAGCAGCAATGTAGAATTTTGGACAAAGGGGTGTAACAAGGAACCAGGAGGAGCAGAGTCCCAATCATATATTTTTTTTTGCAGGGGCAGGGATAGTGTGATAGATGGAAACCAAAAAGAATCAGAAAGTGAGAAAGTTGCGTGTCATAATGTTCATTAACATGCAAAGAAATCTTAAACCTAAAATTCTCTCATGCAATGACATGCAAACCCAAAGGCAGAACAGAATAAAGAAAAGGGGGTCAGCAAAGAATGCAGAAGGTTCCAGGCAACCAACTGAAATAAGCTTCAAGTTCATACAAACCTCCAACATTAAATTGCTATGTCTGATATAAATGTTTTCACCATCTAGTCTCTCTCTCTTTTTCTGTGAAAATGAAAGGGGGAAAAACAGAAAAGCATAAAAAATTAAAATTTATTCTTGCGGGAGAAAACTGCAAATTGGCAAACCAAAAAAATACTTAAAATTAAATGTCTGCAGTGCAACATATGCCAACATGAAATGGTCACAGAACCACAAGGACACACAGAGAACATGGTTACACTAGAAAATAGATGACCTTGTTTATGAATGATGAAAGACTTGATGATGTTATTTAAATAGACAGTGCTCCTGGCTTCATTGGCTTCTTATGTAATAAGCTATTTTATGTTCAGTTTTGAAACTGAAGTATTTAAATGTTACCCTAATATATGACCCTGAAAAGATATGACACTCCATGTATCTTAGGGTAGGGAAATGCTTTAAAAACATTAGCCCCCAAAAAAGCCACATTAGTTTTTGGGAGGCGTTTCATGTATAGTATTACTGCAATATCAAGATTTCTAAGACCTTTTATTAAAAAGATTTAACAATATTTTATACTTAATCGGCCAATAAATATGTTCAGTAAGAACTGGTACATCCCCCTAGGTAGTTAGGAAGAATGAGGCACACAGCAGTCAAATCATAGTTACTAATAATACTGGGATTTGTTGTTATGATGGTTTTTCTGAGGAATGTGTGTAAAATATCATCAATGATTCCAAGATATGATGTCATTGTGCAATTGTTCTTTCAAAGTTTGAAAACAAAGGGTAGGTTTGAGCCTAACTAATATTTGTTAGAAAAGAATTTTCCTACTGAAATGCTTGCTTAAAGTAAAAGATTATAATTTCTTTAGCATATATGTGTATATATATATACACACACACACATATACATATGTGTATGTATATTTGCTTCTTCAAAGTAATTTCTGATTAAGAGAAATCAATGAAAAGAATGGATCACTGTCTTTTTAATGCACTGTAAGTCAGAGAGTGAAATGGAAATGGAGTTTTGTGAAAGTGAAAAATGGCTAACCTTCCTCATTCTTATCAGATCTTCAGTTTTTTCTGCAAGCTTCTGTATGACCATAATTCAAAAAAGAAAAAAAATGATAAAATATTGGCTCATTGACTTTTAAAAATCTTCATCTTACAATTATTTTATGGAGAGGGCGATGAGGGAGAAGAAAAAACTGAGGGGAGGGGGACAGCAGGGGCTTGTTGGCACAAACCTGTGTTTGGTCACCGTTTGAGGTAGGTACTGTGACCTCGATGTGGGTTTTTTCCACCTACATTTAAGAAATAAAGTAGTAAAAACATTTTAAGTTAACAGGTTTCTATGCACAGGATTTTCTTTTTTTTTTTGGGGGGGGGGTCCAGTCATGGGGCCTGAACTCTGGGCCTGGGCACTGTTCCTCAGCTCTTCAGCTCAAGGCTAGCGCTCTACCACTTGAGCCACAGTGCCACTTCTGGCTTTTTTTCTTTTTGCTTATGTGGTGCTGGGGAATCGAACCCAGGGCCTCAGGCATGCAAGGCAAGCGCTCTACCACTGAGCCACCTTCCCAGCCCTATGCACAGGGTTTTCAAATACGCTGCATCATTAATCTGGGGTGAAATATGTTGCTAAGTCATAATCATGATGCAGTCTTACGAGGCTGTTCCAGGGAAATATGGTATTCCTAACAATGATGTGGTAGTTCACTATCACATTTCCAAGGCTGAAGAGGTTAATACAGACATTCAAATTATTATAAGAGAAAGGTAGGGTAATCTTTCCATGGATTAAGGAAATATTTTTATATTTATTTATTATGAAAAACTACTAAACTAAAAGAGGTTTCTTTAGTATAACCATATGTTTTTGTTTTGCTTTTTTTAATGATCTGGAAATACTCTAATATTTTTAAACAAATTTATAAATGAAGTTACCAATGTCTAATATATATTATAGAAATAAATAAGTTTTAGTTTAAAACACACATGTAAAAAATAACATATGACACCAAACAGGTAAATACAAAAGATTTTGTTAGTTGACGCATACATTGAAGAAGGAAGTTTCAATCTTCAGCGTATTACATAACAAAACATCCAAATAAACTCCATCTTGTAGCTGACATATGTGATTATTTTCAGGGCTGATTTATAAATAAGCACACACAGGCCTCTGCTCCCACATTCTACACAGCAGTCCTCATTCTAGGAATACAGAACAAACATTTTTGGCAGAAGGACAAGATTTGTTTCTAACATCAGGAAAAGAATATCTAAAGTTGTCTATGTAACTATGAAATACCTTTAGTAATAAAAATTTGATATATGAAAATATAGTACTTTAAAAAATATATAGTACTTTTAAAAAGTACTTTTTTATTAATAGGAAACAAACTAACAGTGACAACTGCCTAAAACACTGGTTATTTCAAAATCAGAAAACAAATTGTCTAAGAGATGAAACAATTACTGTGTATCATTAAATTCTTTCTAAAATCTCATCTACATGTGGTTGGTAAGCAGCATACCAGGGTGAAGAATGTCATTGTGCTACTCTCTATAGGACTGAATGGAAAAAATGTAAGATAATGCGCTGTGGCTCAAGCGGTAGAGCACTAGCTTTGAGCTGAAGAGCGCAGGGACAGCGCCCAACCCCAGAGTTCAAGGCCCACAATCAACAAAAACAAAAAGAAAAAGCTTTGATTCTCTTCCCTTGAGAATACAAAATTAACTAGAAAATGAAATCCAAGCCTAGCACCGGTGGCTCACACCTGTAATCCTAGCTACTCAGGAGGCTGAGATCTGAGGATCGCGGTTCAAAGCCAGCCCAGGCAGGAAAGTTTATGAGACTCTTATCTGCAATAAACCACTAGAAAACTGGCAAGTGGCGCTGTGGCTCAAGTGGTAGAGCGCCAGCTTTGAGCTGAAGAGCGCAGGGACAGCGCCCAAGCCCAGAGTTCAAGCCCCACGACCAACCAAAAAAAAAAAAACAAGCCAAAAACCAAACTTTGTAGTACTATCAAATGAAAGCACATCTAGGTGCAGCAGTTTTTGTTGAACAAATATAGCAAAAACAGAGCCAGACTGTCCACCGTTTTACAGGGAAATTAGATATTGATCTGGTTCCAATAGAATACTATTAATCCAAGGTGAAAGCACTTACTTGGGCCTTATTCATTCTAAAGTTTAAGAAACATAAAAATGCAATTCTTGTTGAGTGTTGTTAGTTCATGTAATCCAAGCTACTCAGGGGGACTAGATCTGAGAATTGTGGTTTGAGCCGCCTGGAGCAGAAAAGTCCATGAGACACTCTCTAACAGAAAAGCACCACTAGAAATGTGGCTCAAGTGGTAGAATGTTCACTAGAGGCAAAAAAGCTGAATAAAAGAGAGGCTCTGAGTTCAAGCCCTGGTACAACATAAACAATAAAATGAAATAAAAGCAATTCTTATGATTGCCATCTCATAAAATTCCTGTTGACAATAGTGATATTTGCATTTACTTTAATAACCCTGAACTAGCACCTCAACTGCATCATTGTTTAAATGTATTTAAAAAGCTTATAAACATTTAGGAAAAGGAAATATAGCTCAAGTGGTAGATCCACCCTTAAGCATAAAAGCCAAGCAAGCACATCAGGCCCTGAGCTCAAGCCCAGCATGCGCACGTGCGCACGCATGTGCATGTGCACACACACATTAAAAAAAAAATAGCATTTAAAGATCATCTTAGCCAGATCATCTCAGCTGGAGGCTCATGGCTGTAATTCTAGATACTCAGGAGGCTGAGATCAAGAGGATTGCAGCTCAAAATTAGCCAGAGCAGAAATCTGAGAGATCCCATCTCTCCAAAATAACCAGCAAAAAGTTCATCGGGGGCATGGTCAAGTGAGAGAGCACCATTCATAAGCAAGAAAGCCAAGTGAGCAAGTGTTCAAACCCTGGTACCAGAAAAAAAAAAGAATATATGTGTATGTATGTGTGTGTGTGTGTGTATGTATACATCTTATATATAATAGAAGATCAGCCTATTATTGTTACTTCTGGGAGATCTGCTAATTGGTGATTTCAACTCAGTGCAATGACTATGACTCCAATGAACCAGGAATCATAAACAATTCAGCAGCATAATCTCTCCTACGAAACAGAACTTCTCTTTGTAAAGCGTCTTACAATTGAAACAACCATATTAATGTGCTTCTGTTATTTATATATATATTCACTTTAGGAAACCAAATTGTGGCTTAATGACAATAGTAAGCTGAATCTTAAACAACATTAACATTCTTTCTGGATGAGTAGAAATTATTTTAAAAAGCAATCTTGCTGGTACACATTACAAAGCCTGTTTGTCTAGGTGTGGGTCATCTGAAAACTTTTTTTTTTTTGCCAGTCCTGGGGCTTGAACTCAGGGCCTGGGTACTGTCCCTGCGCTTCTTTTTGCTCAAGGCTAGCACTCTACCATTTGAGCCTCAACGCCACTTCCAGGTTTTTCTGTTTATGTGGTACTGAGGAATTGAACCCAGGGCTTCATGCATGTTAGGCAAACACTCTATTACTAAGCCACATTCCCACCCCCTGAAAACTTCTTTTTTTTTGGGGGGGGGCTCCGGTCGTGGGCCTGAACCCTGGGCCTGGGTGCTGTCCCTCAGCTCTTCAGCTCAAGGCTAGCACTCTACCACTTGAGTCACAGCGCCACTTCCGGCTTCTTTTTTCTGCTTATGTGGTGCTGAGGAATCAAACCCAGGGCCTCATGCATGCAAGGCAAGCACTGTACCACTGAGCCACCTTCCCAGCACTGAAAACTTCTTGAATGGATAGACAGCTTATACTCTTTAGGATGAAATTCTATGAAAATACTTTATAGGTTTATGAGAAACTTCTTTTGGAAAGAATAAAGAAGAAATAACTTTGTTGAGATTTTATAACATTTGGTTACTTTGAAAATTTTCCTTGTCAAGGAGTTAAGACCTTGATACCAGAACATGAATTGGCTATATCTGTGGACTTTGAGACATACCTTCCACGCCTCTGTGGGCTCTGGCTCAGCTTGCTCAGGTGGCTCTTCTTTCACTTCAGCCTTCACTGTTTCCTTCTGTGTTTTTTTGTCAGATGCTCCTGGTACAATGCCCTCTGTGACCTGACTCTGAGCAATGGCTGGGGCAGAGGTGGGTCGAGGACTTCTGTCTGTTGAGTCAGCAGCTGCTGCTTGATACAAAAGAGAAAAGAGAATAATAAGTGAAGGTAAGAGCCACTGAACTACTATAAAAGCCACTAAGAAAAGTAGGTATAAGTCGAGGATATACAGAAATGCCCATCATACAGAAGGTAAAAATAAATCATCAGTGCTTTTCTGGCAACCAAGGGTGATGAGTACCTTTGAAAGAAAAGCTAAGATTTGTTTATGACCATGTGTCATAAATGCTAATTTCAGGGAGGAAATGATCAAAGTAAGAAAAAATATCTTAAAATGTATTAATCTTGTAATTTATTACTTTCAAGAATCTACAATGTAGTCTATAGAGGAAAAAAGTTGGTAATCAAGTCTACATGGTTTCTGGAACCTAAAAATATATTCTAGGAAAAAGGAATTTAGATTGACTTTTTTCCCTGTGAGTATCTTTGGAATGATTACAAAACAGCTTGATAAATGACTCTTCTGATAAGACATGTACTACTTTTTGATGCTTGTCCAGGGCAAATCTTTAAGCCATCTGTTTTCCTTTCTCATAATAAATCATTTGTCTAAAATAATATGAAACCAGGCACAAGTGGCCCATGCCTATAATCCAAGCTACTCAGGAAACTGAGATCTGAGGATCATGACTCAATGCCAACCTGAGCAGACAAATCAGTGAGACTCTTATCTCCAATTAACCAGCAAAAAGCCAGAAGTGGAGGAATGGCTCAAGTGGTAGGTGCCAGGTATGAGCAAAAGAGATGAACAATAGTGAGGCCCTTGAATTTAAGCCTTAGTATTGATGTTGGTGTGTTGTACACACACGCGCGCGCACGCGCACACACACACACACACACACACAAGAATTCAAAATCTTTGACTTTCCAGCTGGGCACTAGTGGCTCATGCCTGTAATCCTAGCTAGAGATCTGAGGATTGCAGATTGGAGCAAGCTGGGCAAAGAAGTCTCCATAAGACTCCTATCTCCTATTAACTACTCAAAAAAAAAAAAAAAAAGTCAGAAGTGGCACTGTGGCACAAGTGGTAGAGTATTAGCCTTGAGCACAAAGAGGCTCAGAGACAGTGCCCTGGCCCTGAGGTCAAGCCCCAGGACTGTCAAAAAAAACAAAAACAAAAACCAAAAAAAACTTCCATCATAAAAGCAAAATATAACCACCTTTGGAATTCTGTCCTACCCTCTCTCAAAGTCTTATCAATGCATTATAGCTCCAATTCTTTGAAATATTTAGAATAGTGGTTCTCAGTTCTGGATTATTTTACCTCCAGAGAACAGCTGTAAATGTCTGAAAACATTTTTGATTGTTACAAATGGGGAGACATCTAGTGGTACTGACATCTAGTACAAAAAAGCCCAGGTTGCTGGGTAGACAAACATTGATTTAAGAAGACTGCAGACTGTCACAGAGAATAGAGAAAATACACAATATAGACTGAGAGAATAACAATATAGACTGACAATCCAAGTTCCAGCTTTCTACAAAATTAATTTTTATTTGGGTTTGAACTATTTGTAGCATTCAAGTTTTAGATGAGCTTACTACAAAATAGTCTTTGAGGGATTAGAGATGTAGCTCAATGGTACAGTGCTTACCTAGTGTGCAACAGAGGAGGTCTTAGGTTCTATCCTCAAAACAAAACAAATACTCAGGCACTCAGTATTTAAGCATTACACACTTTGTAGTTAAACCTTACTTATTTGACGTTGTCTAGGAATGAAGTTGTTTTTTCAACATGATTAAATTATAATAGACCAACCATTCTTTTACTGAGATTTTTAATCCTTCTTCATGGAAATCTTCACAATTTACATTACATTCTTTCCTTCCTTTTTAAGCTAGCTACACTAGACATAATTTATTCTAGTAATTTAAATTTAGATGCTGTAAAAATTAAGTAAAAGAAAGGAATTCCTTAAAATAGAACAGACTAAAAAAGTAAAATTCATAGCTAATATTCACATAGCACCAATTTAAAAAAGGAAGGTTTAGTACCCTGTAATGATCTCCAGTGAAAGAAGTAAGTTCCAGGAGGATATTTAGGAAAATAACAGGAATTTTAAAATCCTGTTTTATTTTACAATGAACATTTTGTGGCCTCTTGCAAGTCCTTCCTCCTAATGGGTGCTCCTAGCCAGTCAATGTAAGAATGGCAGATGGCAGAACAAAGCTAACAAAACCTGGTGGTGTGACAAAATATTTTGCTCACAGTTGTGTTAAAGTATCGTTATACATGTGTATTCACACCTCCTCTCAAAAGAATTAATTCAATCCTGCCTGGCGTTGTAGAAACAGAGCCCATGTTTCACCATGTGTTATTTTGCCTCTTGGATTTGGTTTGAATCCAACACTAATATTGCAGAGCCAAATGATTTATGTCTTTAGCACTGCTAGCCTTGGTAATCTGTATTATACATGGAAAAGTAGGTATAGGTTTAAGAACTAATGATTACAATAGGTAGAAATGGTTCTGAGAAGAGAAAAAGGCAGCATTACAATAAGCAGTCCTCGCTGGGAAAAGTGGCATGGCACAGAGACAATAAACAATTAGGCCATGGGTCACTTTAGTCATACAAGCAAGGACCTTATGTTATTTTTGTTTTATTTTTTTATTTTTTTTGTCGGTCATGGGGCTTGAACTCTGGGCTTGGGCGCTGTCCCTCAGCTCTTCAGCTCAAGGCGAGCGCTCTACCACTTGAGCTACAG